GCTTGTCATTAGAACTGAGATTGGCGACAGAAAAGGAGTAGCAGGTGACTACGGGAACCTAGGTACTCTGTTTGATTCGCTCGGGCAATGCGACAAGGCTAAAGAGTATCTCCAAAAAGCGCTTGTCATTAGAACTGAGATTGGCGACAGAAGAGGAGAAGCAGCCGACTACGGAAACCTAGGTACTGTGTTTCATTCGCTCGGGCTATACGACCAGGCTTAAGAGTATCTCCAAAACGCGCTCGTCATCAGAACTGAGATTGGCGACAGAGAAGGAGTAGCAGCTGACTACGGAAACCTAAGTACTGTATTTCATTCGCTCGGGCAATACGACCAGGCTAAAGAGTATCATCAAAAAGCGCTTGTCATCAGAACTGAGATTGGCGACAGAAAAGGAGTAGCAGGTGACTACGGAAAGCTAGGTAATGTGTTTCATTCGCTTGGGCAATACGACAAGGCTAAAGAGTATTTCCAAAAAGTGCTTATCATTACAACTGAGATTGGCGACAGAAAAAAAGAGGCATCATGTTACGGAAACCTAGGTGCTGTGTTTCATTCGCTCGGGCAATACGACAAGGCTAAAGAGTATCGCCAAAAAGCACGTAATATCAGAACTGAAATCGGTGATAAGCAAGGGGAGGCAGCAGATCTTGCAAATCTTGGAATCATGTCCAGAACTGTTGGAGATTTTGAAGCTTCGGAAGTTTGCTTGGAGAAAGCTTTATCCATATCCAGAGATATTGGAGATAGAAGAACAGCGTTCCAAATTCTTCAGCAATACGCTATTTTGTATCTTTTTCAAAATAAAGTCGAGGACCCCATCTCGTGTCTTCAACTTTGCATTGAAAAGTATGAGGAGCTCAGATCTTTCTTGGGCGCCAATGATCAGTTCAAAACATCATTTCTGGAGCACTCAGGAATATTTCCCTACAAGCTGCAATGTACTTTGCTTTGTGACACCGGAAAAACTCGTGATGCTCTTTATGTTGAGGAGTTGGGTCGAGCAAGAGGCCTATCAGACTTGATGGCAGAGAAGTACTCGGTTGAAACGCACATCTCTGCTAATCCCCAATCTTGGTTTGGCATTGAAAACATTTTTAGAGAGAAAAACAACTGTACTTGTCTGTACATTTCTTACTTTCACAATCATCTGCATTTGTGGATCTTGAAAACAGGTGGAGTCCTTCACTATAGAAGGATATCACCAGAAGAGATTCTAGTTCAAGCTGGGATGCCCAAAGACTTGCCTTTGAGTGAATGTTTGGCTGATAAATTCCGGAGTCTCGGTATTTTGCCCGTTGAAGATTGTGAAGATCGGTCTTTAAATATGGTTGAATTGCAGCCTCTCTCCCC